CCCCCCCATGTGTGGATTTTTCTCCGTATCCGGCTTTTCCTTCAGCATTGAGAATCAAGTTACGCGCTTAGAGCATTTGGATGCCTTAAATATCCACGTGACAATAGGCCAATTCGTTGAGCTATCATTTACGATAGCCAGGTCGCTTATGCAAAAAATACCTTTAATAACTCAATGGGGCCTTACCTGGTCAAATACAATTAAAAAAATATTTGAGTCTAGCAGTCCAGCACACGTGGGACCTAGCATGAGAGTGTGACCCCGTTGATCCGTCGCTGAACGCGTAGTCGCTGACCCACGCCAGATGCCTGACCCGCTGTCCCCGACACGGCCTCCCCGACACGACCTCCCCCGAGAGGACCTCCCCCAGACGACCTCCCCGAGACGACCTCCCTCACACGGCCTCCCCGACACGACCTCCCCCTGCCGCCTGGCACAGCAGCGGCTACTGTGGTCTGAGATACAAACAGCGGCACCTGGACAGGGGCTGTGGTGCAGGGTGATAGGAGCTGTGGTGCAGGGTGACAGGAGCAGTGCAGGTAACGGTGCGCTATGAACCCGAGTTCGATTCCCGCTCACGGCCAACAGCCAGTTGACTGTTATCTGAATCGGCCCTGGGCCTCCCCCTAGGTCGACTCGGCCTCAAATGAGTACGTGGTGCGGTGTGTATACATCGCCACTGGGGAGACAAAGGCGACCGGGCGTGGTGCTGGCCACCCACCCTCTCGTGAGCCGTGCCGGCCTTCACAGGTGCTCGCTAACAGCACTTGCCCCTACAGTCTGTTAAGGCTGTATGGGGGATCTTTGTTGTTGTTTCTTCCTATGAAAAAAGACCAGCACGGCGCGCGAGGGGGTGTAGTAGTAGTTGGCCAACACACCACGCCCGGCCGCCTTTGTCTCCCCAGTGCTGATTTGTTACACCCCACATAAAGTACTCGTGTGTGTGTGTGTGTTTTTGTTTAAGGCCGAAACGACTTAGAGGAGGCCCAAGACCGCTTTTAAATAATCGTCGTTGGTGTTGAGCCGTGGGCGGGAATTGGAACCTCGGGTCGCCGGGTTCGTAGTAGTGCAAGTGAAGCGCGCTAACCACTGCGCCACCGCTCCCCGCAAGGACACAACACCTACAATCAATTGTAGATTTGAAGCTTTCGTGACTGCAAGGATTCATACTCTTAGGTTTTTTCGGTGAAGTCACGTAGGTTAAGCATATAAATAAATAATAAAAAATACAATTTTAAAAAATAATAGAAATTATTATTTTATTTCTATTTTTTTTCTTTTTTACCTACGTGACTTTACCGAAAAAACCTAAGAGTACCTACAATCAACTTCACGCGAACTCGGCATTCCCATCGCGTTCGGCTCTCGGTGATCGTGGCGAGCCATGTAAAGTAGTTGTGCTCTTCGCTCGTTATTATTCTTGTCAGTTAACGACCACGATGTCAATTGTAACTAACGTCGGTATTGCTGGCAGCTAAAGTGCATGTAAACACTTTACTTATTGTTCTTTCACCCTCTGTGGCTTTTTGTTATATTTGTTGTGCAAGTAACGTCTTCGTCTTGTGATGAGATCAAGGCAACGGGCCGCGTGGGAAGGGGTTCTTTTCTTCTGCGTGTGGGGAAATATTGTGGTCCCAAAGTGAGATATCCGCCACCAGGTGTCTCTATCGCGGTGGCTCGGAGATGTTGACTCCCTCGCCAGGTATGCAGGAGTGCGTGGGTTCGATCCCGACCCTGACGACCTGCTGTATATTTGTAGTTTGCGTCCCCCTCCCCCCCCCCCCCGTGGTTGCATGGATTTTTCGCCGGTTATTCCCTCCACATTTAGAATCAACGTCACGCGTTTTAAAGAGTTATTTGGCTGCGATACATTGCCACGCGCCGAGCCACTTCGTTGGCCTATCATTTGTGGACAGGTCGCTTCGGGGAGAGAAAAAATATCTAGCTATCTTAGCTTAGTTGGGGGCCTTACCTGGTAAAATAAATAAACAAAGTTGTATTCCAAATAATTCCTGCAGTTACGAAAGCTCCAAATCAAGTTTTTCATATCTGTGGTTTGGCAATGGCGTTTAGATTGAGCTACACGTATTAGCACGGATAAGACGCGCACGCACGCACTCCTGTCCCTTGGGTGTAAAAGCAACAAGTTTTGCCTGGAGGGAGCTGTGTGTGTGCGCGCGCGTTATGTTCCGTGCCTGCTCTACTCGGGGGGTTATACAAATATGATGGTGGCCCCTAAAGCTGGCCTTGTGGTCAGGAGGTTGTAAGCAATTCCAGCCGTCTCGAGTCGTGGGAACAGAACGCGGGTTTCGTGACGTTTCGACTCGTCAAATAAAAAGACGTGAGCGGCCTCATGCCAGGCCACGTCAGCCCCCCCCCCCTCCTGCAGCACCTCCAATTGGCTCCGTACGGTGCGAAAGAAGTTCTCACATGTACCAGGTGTGTGTACATCTTATTGGAACGACACCCACAATCTTCCCCGCGTACAAAATTGTCTCTATTTAACGATGCTATCACCAGCGCACACTTTGGTTATATTGTTTTTTTCTTCCTATTTCGCTTCCTTCCCTCCCACTGTTTGGAACTGACAACAGTAGGTATATATTTAATGATTTGTTAATTTATGAAATCGTATACATTAGGTATGATCACAATAATAAGTGCATTACTGCTCTATTTTAAAATGTACCGTCATGTTAAGGTTCACGTGATAACGAGCATTTGCATCTGCGTGTGTATAAGCAGTTCTTGTAAGGCTTTCACATTTTTTTTGCATATGCAAATTGACAATACTGTATCTCATGTGATAAACACCTCCGCCTGTATTTACACTGTTCATACAAAAAAGTTGTACAGTTGCCTTGCTGTAAGATTGTACTATCCTGTGTGACTACAGTAAACTAAAAAAAAGTGAGTGCTGCGTTTGTCATTTTTTTTAAACAAAGTCTCACACTCTTAGTTCTTTCGGTAAAGTCACGTAGGTAAAAAATGAAATTAAAATTAATAAAAAGAAAAAATAGATTTTTTTTTAATTTTCATTTCATTTTTTACCAACGTGACTTTACCAAAAGAACTAAGAGTATGAATCCTTGCAGTCACGAAAGCTTCAAATCTAGAATAAATTCTCACTTCCACTGCTGTACTGCTACGCACCTTTCACACTGAAGAGTCGGGCGCCCAGTGGTGGCTACCGCTGCACGTGGCTCCCTGCAGTGGTGCAGGCAGCAGCCAGTGATTGGTGGATCACACACACACACACGTTGTGAAACTTCCTTCAACCCGTGGAAGACGATTGGGAAGAGCCGTAGCCTGGCTTGCTCGAATGCGGTACGGCAAAAAAAGTGTGGACTCCCACCCAATATATATTTTTAAAAACTTTCTTTTACAAAGTGAGCACCACTGAGAAACGTAGCTGTTTTTTTCAGAAGCGACCTGGCTACCACAAATCATAGCTCAACGAAGTGGCTTGTAGCTTGGAAATGTTTCGCAGCCACAAATACTCAACGCACCTTGATTCTAAATGGAGGGGAAAAACCGGAGGATCCCAAGAAAAATCCACGCAACCACCGGGAGAGAGACACACAGACTCCAAATATACAGCAGCAGGCATCAGCGTCGGGATCGAACCCACGACCTCCTGCACACCAGGCGAGGGAGTTAACATCTCCTAGCCACCGTGATGGAGAGACACTCAAACTCCAAATATACAGCAGCAGGCATCAGTCGGTATCGAACCCACGACCTGCATACCAGGCGAGGGAATTAACATCCCCTATCCACCGTGATGATGGACACGCAAACTACAAATATACAGCAGCAGGCGTCAGGGTCAGGATCGAACCCACGACCTCCTGCACACCAGGCGAGGTAGTTAACATCTCACCACCTGTTGTCTGTACAGACGAGTGCTGCCCGCTCACGTGCATGGGTTCTCTCCAGGTTGCGACCAACCAAAGGCCCTTTGGATCTTTGCTCATTGGGTGTGCATCTCGAGTCTTGCGTTCCTCCCAACTCAAGTAGATTAGTCAAACCTCGTAATAAGCAGGTGGCTTCTGCAACCACAACCGTCTAACAGTTTAACCGAAATTCGCGGTGGAATTGGAAAGCCGACTGAACAATAAGGTTATAACCGCGTTCATAATAACTACGACAATGTAAGCTTTTAGGAGTTAAGTGATAACCGGACGAAATGTTATTTATACGCAAGAACACCGTGGTACTACTTTAATTGTACCACAAATTATGCTTGCCTAAGTCGTTGCGACGTCAAACTTTCTTTCGGACATTAAACGGAAGTGCCCACTTGTCACGAATTGAAGGCCGTCACCGTGACTTTCGTGCCGAGGATGAATTGGCTTTTCTTTGGACGTCTCCAAAAATGCAAAGTCACCACCGCAATGAAAAATAATCGGTGTTTACCCCCTTCTGGCAACCACACGTGCTTGTGGTCAACATGCAAACACGTTCTGATCAATTCATTATCCTTGAGACACGAGACGGCCTTCTTTATGGCCTAGTCTCACCAGTGTGATCACAAGGCGAGCATTAACAAAGACAATGCATGTAACCAGAGCATTTATAGCTAGAGTCGAGCACACGATTTCTTGCTAAAAGGTATCTATTTGGTTTGAACACGTTAGCACCTGTTTGATTGCCAGAAAGGGTAAAACCTATTATTTTTCAAACTATGATACTGGCAAAAGAAAGGTCTCAATGTATCACCACCGCCATTTTTGTTTCGTTTCAATGTCGTAAAAATCGGTTAATCTAGATCAACTTACCCCAACACTGTGTACAAGGGGAAACCCTCTCCCATATCAGTGGACTGAAGAGAAGGGCTGTACAACAAAATCACGCGCGCAAACACACAAACAAAACACACAAACACACGCAATCCAAGGCCACGAAAACGCCGCACAGGGAAACACAAAGGAGACGCTTGGCCAGGAACCCCCCACGCTACACGCTCAAGCAAGGAAACGGTTAACGAGAAGACTTCATTCATTGTAAGGGCTATGCTTTATTCACAAATTCTTCATTTAGATATTACATCTGTTAACGGTTCCCGATCTGAAGAGTGGGCAGAAGCGGACTTGGCCCCTATGGTCGTGTACCAATCATGAAGGGACGCACGCGCACACACCGCAATGTGGTCACCCCCGCACACAGGTGTGTGTGTGTGTGCAGGATCGTCCCTGGGAGGGATGGACTTTTCCAGACCGACCCCCCCCCCCCACCCCCCATGAGAGACATTGCACACCACGAAATGTTTTTTGCCGGCACAAGACAACCGGAGTTGATAAATACGTCGTCAACTTTCGGTTACACCAATTGTATATGGCTGTTTCGTGGCGGAAAGTGTAGCAAGCAAGCGAGCTAAAACAAATTATCCGCGTTAGCTTGACGTGTACAGTATTAAACGTTTACGATTTGTCACCTTCGCCATAAGTGCAAAGCTAAATAAAATTAACTCGACAAATTGTGCCAAGGGCTAACTCCAGGGGCAAATCATTCAAATATTTATATCCGGCAAATTCGCCAATTTAATGCCGTGGTTAACATGCAACCTGGAAGCTGTGGCCAACAGTGCAACAACCCTTTTTGGGAAAATGCAGCGGCATCACCCAATAGTCCGCGTGCTCATCACGGAGGTGGCAATCAGTGCACCACCCCGTGCGCGTTAAGGAAAGTGAGCGTGCGTGAGCGCAGCTCCGTTTAAAGCGCGGCAAATGTTTTGTCTCCGTGGATGGTAGAGGAGGGGGGGGGGGAGGAGGGCCTGGAGAAGCCCAAAGAAGAAGCTCAGAGAAGAAGCCCACCATCTCTCCGGCATGACGCAAGGCCAAGTCCGCTTTTAGCAGTGGGTGTGACAGATGGGATACCCGTACACGCACGCACACTCGCACGCACGCCGAGTTTGGCGAGCGGGTGGTGTTGGTGGTGGTGGTGTTGGCGACGCCGTCGACAATTCACTTCTTCCACTCGTTCTTCTCGTAGTCCCACTGGGAGGAGAAGCCCTCCACAGGGTTGACGCGCATGTCCAGCATCCTCTTGGTCTGCATCGCAACCCACTCCTCGGACAGCGTGTGCGGCACCGGCCCGAACACTGCGGGAGGGGGAAGACGCATCGCAACGCACGTTTAACGTACCACAGCCGTCGTAACATCTCTATGTATGTAGAACTTATTTCGCACCCAACTAAAATCAGGTGTCGGCACAGACGAGCCGTGCCGAGCCGTGCCGAGCCGTGCCGCCGACACGGAGTAATTGTCCAAATTAATGTGTTTTTTTGGGTGAGATCGAGTAAATGTCAATGTGTCGTTAAACCCGCCACCACCCAACACAGCCAATTATTAAGGTATGTCAAGTAAACAAAACGTGGCCAATTAGTTACTTCAGCACACCGGTGTGTTGGAGAGTAAACCAACAGCATTTACAATTTGAGCAACACGTTTCCCTGGTAATTAAATGATGACGTCACCCTGAGGCTGCTCTATTTAAGAACGGAAGCAACAGGAGAGCTTCACCATTCTTGCCCGATGAAGCTGATTGTAATTATCAGCGAAACGTCGTACTACTCAGATTTAAAATGCTGTTGATCCTCTCTTCAGCACACCGGTGGGCTAAAGAAGTGAATTATTTTGTCCTTTGAAAACGTGACACATTTTTTACTGTTTGGCCGTGTCGGGTGGTGGAGGTTTACGACACATTTATAAATAACACGATCTGATCCAAAAACCTATATTATGAATATTGGTCGCGAAAGCCTACGTGTTAAATTGACGTAGTAATTAGTCGAGGCGCGTGCAGCCGACGCGGTGGTCGAGTCCCATAGCAGGTGACGCGGTGACGTCCTCGGTTTACCAACCAACGTCAAACGCGATAGATGCATATCTAGCCCTGCCTTTGATCTGGCCCCAAGCCAGAGTCGCGTGTCTCGTGAGGCCAGCATATTCCGGTTTGGTTCGGGCTCAGCTCGAATGTGCCAGTCGAATAGGGGGGGGGGGGGGGGGGGTTGGGGGTGTGTACAAGTGACTTTCAGAACAGATTAATTGTCCGAGGGCCCAGAACAGATTTATCACTTTGTCACATCTGAGGTTTGTTCCGGTTGATCCGGTTCAGTCTTCCCAGTGCTGGGCAGGACTCGAGCGCGGCCCCCGAGTGAATGTGCGTACATGCGAGCGCGTGAGCGTGCGTGAGCGTGCGTGAGCGTGCGTGGGGGTGCCGGGGGGGGGGGCCTCACCGTAGTGGCGCTGCCAGATGATGAGCAGTCCCGTGAATCCGAAGAAGAAGAACACCGCTCCAAGCACAGTCTTCCACTCGTGCGAGGGCTGATCCATCTCCGCGTACGTCTTGTTGAACATGATGCGGTACACTGCATGCCGGGGGAGGGAGAGGTGGGGGGGGGAAAACAACGTGGAGCTGCTTAAAGACGGGAGCAGTCTGCAGCAAATCAGTCGCACTGCTGTGTTGCGTGCAACCAAATCGCTTAACGCAAAGACCTACGGCAACTTGTCGGTGCCTGCGGTGGTCGCCCACCCATGGCTAAAAAGCCTGCTTGGCCCAACAATGTGTCATCTTGACAGAGTCATTCGCGTGAGTAGTATATCGTGACCAATATCATCCATAGTAGAGTTTTTTTTTTTGGGGATATATCGCATAAATATAAATGTGTCGTTAAACCCACCACCACCCGACAGCCAACTGGCAATAGATACCCATTTTAATTAATATGCATTCATTAATCCCCCCACTTCGCACGTGAAGGGCTCACAAGTGACTTCATCACAGCCATCCCTCAATTTAAGGAACTAAACAGGAGGATTTCACCACGAATCTGGCTGTCGCCTGATGAAGCTAGTTGTAATTATTGGTGAAAAGTCACTCAGATTGGACATATTGTGGATTTGCTCTCCAACACACCGGTGTGCTGTACTAGTAATTAATTGGCATGTTCTGGTTACGTGACTTTACTAATTGGCTGTGTCGGGTGGTGGCAGGTCTAACGACACATTTATATTTACGCGATCTAACAAAATTTTTTTTACATTATGGAGTATCTCAAAACTCGAACAATTTGCAAATCTTCGAGCGGAGGCACAGGAGGACAAGGGCATCGACAGCACCGGTGCCAACAATCGCCGTCATTTTACAATAAGGGGGCGACAATTTTCCATGAATAATCCCGATTTATGAACGTAATATAACCATGCAACACTGCTTACCTTCCGAGACCTAACGAGATCGGGGGGGGGGACACACATTCTGGGAGATTTGGTCACAGGGGTGGCACAATGTGCATACACGTTGGCGAGGTGTTGAGTAGGGCTCAAGGTAAGGTCGAACTCGTGCACAAGATGCTTTCCACAAATGAACTACAATACCTCGCTGATCTCGTCAAGGGAAGCATAAACCACCACCACGCAAACTACGGTCATCCTCGCAGCAGCGGCTTTTGGCTAACCCTCGAACAAAGACGGTCACCGCATCTCGCGCTCTCGGATGCGCTTCTGCGGCCGTCTGGAACGCTCTTCCTTTCGATTTTAGGAAGCCACTGGAGCTATGCACTTTTAATTCTAGATTGAAAACTAATTTTCTGAAGAACTGCTTTTAGTGTTTAGCTTGTCGTCCCTTTCCTTGCACCTCCGATTAGCATGAATGGCTATGTACGGTGTGAAAGAAGTTCAACATATATATACACACAAGTGACTATTATTTAACACGTAGGCTTTCGCGACCAATATTATTCATAATATAGGTTTTTGGGTCAGATCGCGTTATTTATAAATGTGGTGTAACCCTCCACCACCCGACACGGCCAATCAGTAAAAAATGTGTCACGTTTTCAAAGGACAAATGATTTGACTTCTTTAGCCCACCGGTGTGCTGATTACAATACCCTCCCCCCCTCCTTGCCTCGAATCACTGCACCAAATTGAATTGAATTAAATGATGACGTCACCCTGATGCAGCTCTATTTAAGACCGGAAGCAACAGGAGAGCTTCACCATTCTTGCCCGATGAAGCCGATTGTAATTATCAGCGAAACGTCATACTACTCAAATTTTTAAAATGCTGTTGATTCTCTCTTCAGCACACCGGTGGGCTAAAGAAGTCAATTAATTTGTCCTTTGAAAACGTGACACATTTTTTACTGTTTGGCCGTATCGGGTGGTGGAGGGTTACGACACATTTATAAATAACGCGATCTGACCCAAAAACCTTTATTATGAGTGACTATTATTGTTAGCAGAATAAATTCCTGTGGCACTACATAAAGCAAGAGGAGCGAAGGTTTAATCAATTAATAAAGGCGGTCTTTTAGCCCTGTGCATATGGGCGACACATCTCCGTGCATGTGTATGCCAATTTGCGTAGGTCGCAGCAGCACATTTGTGTCTTCATACTTGAGCAGAGTATTCCCACGCGTGTAATGATGCATTGCCACATAAGCAGTGTGTGCGCCCCCTTGTGGATATATTAGGTCCCTTATCCGGACGAGAAGAAAGAGGTGGCACAAAGAAGAAGACAACCCGATGATGCGGGCAGAGATGACAAGGAACCAGGCACTCTTTGGACACACGTGTAGCAGGATGGACAACAACAAGAACATTTAAAGGTGTGGTGTTGTTCGGAAAAAAATGGAAGAAGGCGGAAGGAGAGGAAGACCTAACGGAGTTAATGGCTTGACGATGACGGTGACATGAGAGATTGGTTCCACACAAGATGTGGCCACTACTTGAGCCATAGCGGCACAAGGCAGAGGAAAGTGGAAACAAATTACGAAATGTGAAGCAGACACCTCCCTATGGGCTATTGGTCCATAGATCGTGATGATGATCTGGACTAACCCCCCCCAAAGCATGGTAGAAACTTGATTTTCCCTCACCAACGATTTAGTACGATTGGCTATGTACGATGCGAAAGAGGTCCAACATATATGGGCGGTTCTAGGCTAGTTGAATTCTGCTCCGCATGAGCACTGCCCTGAGGCGCGTTTGGGTTCCGTGCAGCGATCCATTATTCATACTTTAGCTCTCGCGAAAAGCACGATAAAAAAATAGCAGAGCGAGGGAAAGCGAAACAGTCAAGCTATCTTACAGGAAAGAAGTCTCTGCCTCTGTCCTTTAGCCATCGCACTCTAATTTTAGTGTGCGTAACCATTAAGGCTAAGGTGGCTTAGCCCACGCTGCACCCATCGCGGTGCAGAGGTAAACGTGAGGGATCGTGGGAAGAGGGTTGCAGCAATTAGGTGGCAGGGGCAGGCACTCAAAAACCACGAAGCAATCTCCCAAACGATACGAATAAAGACCAACACTAAACTTTCATTTTACCAGGAAAGGCCCACCAAGCTGTATAGCTCTTTGAGAAGTGACCTGGCCACAAATGATAGCTCAACAAAGCGGCCTTATCACATGGAAATTTATAGCAGCCAAATACTCTAAACGCACGTTCATTCTAAAATGTGGAGGGAAAAACGGGAGAACCCGGAGAAAAATCCATGCGACCACAGGGAGAGGGAGACACCGCAAACTCCAAATATTCAACAGGCGTCAGGGTCTGGATCGAACCCACAACCTCCTGGATACCGGGTGAGCGAGTTAACATCTCGGCACCGTTAAAGGCTCTAAAAGGGGGATCCTTTAGCTTTGTGTGCATGTGGAGCGGAAGTATCGCGATTAGCGGACTGCACTACGAACCCCGCTTACGGCTATTTCACAGCTAACATCGGTGACGATAATCTGAACCGGTCCTGGGGCTCCCATATGTCGACTCAGCCTCAAATGAATACCTGGTGCAGTGTGTAAACATCGCCACTTGGGGAGACAAAGGCAGCCGGGCGTGGTGTGCTGGTCACCCACCCTCTCGTGTGCCGTGCCGGCCTTCATAGATGCTACTCGCAAACAAGCAACTGCCCCGACGGTCTGTTGAGGCTACACGTGGGATCTTTGTCTGTCTTTGGGTGCGTGCGCCACTCACGCGCCAGCTTCTCGGCTTGGCTGAGCGCCGTCCAGGGTCCCTTCTCCTTCTCCTTGAGCGCGAGCTGATGCGACGCGAGGTCGCGCACGTAGGGGATGTCGGGCAGCGGCACGTCCATGCGGTCCGTGTACTGGGGCAGGCTCCACTCCTCGGGCTTTGCAACCACCGCTGTACACACCGTCAGCATCGTCAGCATCGTCAGCACCGTCAAAACCATTGACACCGTCAGCATCGTCAGGAGCGTCGGCATCATCAGTACCATCAAAACCATTGACACCGTCAGCATCATCAAGAGCGTCGGCATCATCAGTACCATCGGCACCGTTAACACCATCAAGCAGCATCAGCAGGATCCGCACCATCGTCCCTACTCCGTGCTTTCACTTTGCACGAGTGTCAGCGCACGACACAATCGCAACGCCATTTCATCGTGCCGTTGACCGGATCGCCCAGGAGCAGGATTACGACTCGCAATCACTGCAAGTAGCAAAAGGTTTAAGTGCGACGGAGGTGTGCGACAACTGTACATGACTTCCTCCCTCTGCCCCACGGAAGGCATCACGACTCCCCTGGTGGGAAAGTGCTAATTTGGGAAACAATTAACAGCACTGAATAAGTGCAGCAGTTGGCGCCCCATGGATAGACTGGTCTCTGCCACGGGAATGTGGAATTTGTCACCGGCTGAGTTTGCCAAGGCGGTAAGCGCCGGCGAAAATCGCTCGTTTGTAACAGCGAGACATGTTGTCTTGTGACCCGAAATTTACTGCGCAGACCGTAACTAAACGCGGGCACATGCACGCAAAAACATTTCAAAGATGCCCAAACGATTATTCCTCAAGAGATGCTTTACAGTAATATAATCTCTACACAGGGTCAAAAATAAGCTTATGTGTAACTAGAAATATAAAACGACACGTGACATCACATGTACACACAAGCAAACAATCATAATTTATGCATTGCAAACCCTTAATATGTTTGCCATTTACAATAAAAACGCAAGTGTCCAAAGGTTGTGGAAACAGTTGACTAGAATGGCACGCTAACACAGCACACACGTTTCATCATTTGGTACGGAAAGACCATGCCAAATTTAGCTTTTACGTTCAAAAATGAGTCGCGTTTTCAATTGCACCGATTCAGGTTTCAGGTGTTATTTTGTTTGATCGGGTAAGAAGTCCGGAGACCAGTATGAGTCTCATTTGCAAGAGTGACCCCCCCTGGAGTTCACTCGTTATTTGAGCACACCTGGAAGGTCAGAAAGATTACCTTTAAAAAAAAAAGAAACGATAAGACAATTGTCATGTCCTACACGTCGTGCTTTGAAGACGATAAAAAAAATTCAACCGATTGTAGACGCCGCAGTAATGGAGACTGCACTGCGCAAAATGCAATGCCAAATGGAACACCGGATCCAGGCCAATGACGTACGGGAGTCACAGCCAAACCATAAGTTATTCTACACCTCCACCATTGAGAATCAACGGTAGGTGAAATGGACGGTCAAGGAAAACGAGACTTCTGTAAAAAAATTTTTAAAGAGTGTCGATTTTAGTTTTTCTTCCGATTGCAATATGCTCTATTGCTGTACTTTCCTTTGCTCCATTTGGTTTTCTCTCTATGGGTGCGTGTGAGCTACGCCCAGGTGCAGTGGGTGCGCTGTATGGTGCGCGTGTGTGAGCTGCACACATGCGCAGTGGGTGTTTGTGTGTGCGCTGTATGGGTGCATGTGTGAGCTGCACACAGGCGTAATGGGTGTTTGTGTGTACGCTGTATGGGTGCGTGTGTGAGCTGTACACAGGCGTAATGGGTGTCTGTGTGTGCGCTGTATGGGTGCATTTGTGAGCTGCACACAGGCGTAATATGGGTGTTTGTGTGTGCGCTGTATGGGTGCGTGTGTGAGCTGTACACAGGCGTAATGGGTGTCTGTGTGTGCGTTGTATGGGTGCATTTGTGAGCTGCACACAGGCGTAATATGGGTGTTTGTGTGTGCGCTGTATGGATGCGTGTGTGAGCTGTACACAGGCGTAATATGGGTGTTTGTGTGTGCTGTATGGGTGCGTGTGTGTACTGCACAGGGGTACAATATGCTGTGGGTACTGTGGGGGGTACTGTGGGTGCCACTGCGCCCGTGTCACCCATACCGTGGCCGTGCCGCGCCGCCGTGGTGGCGAGCGCCCTCCGTCCCATCAAACTCAGCATACGTGCGGCCAGCATCTGCAAAGCACACGTTCACACACAAGACGCCCAATCCTTCATCGTCGTCATCACCGTCATCATCTACGGCTTCACAATGTGTCTCACACGCAATCAATCCACACCAAGTGCTTGCCACAAATGAACCACAATACCTCACTGATCTCATCAAGGAGCATAAACCATCACGCAAACTCCGGTCATCCCTCACAGCTGCGTGTATTGGCTGCCATTGAACAAAGACGGTCACCGCATCGCGTGCTTTCAGATTCGCTTCTGCAGCCGTCTGGAACGCTCTTCTTTCCAATATTAGGAAGCCACTGGAGCTATTCAGCAGACGACTGATAAAAGCCAGAATCGACCTAGGAGAGGCCGACGATCAGATCAGATATCAGGAGGTCACTGACGTTAGCCGTGGCTGGGAATTGAACTCGGGTATCGGCAGGTGCGTAGCCCAGTGCGCCAACCACAACAACAACCGTAATTCGCCACCAAGTGGCGGTGACATCACCACGGCGCTTGTGGCAGGCTGTGCACTTTAAGGCCCCCCCATTAAGTATCTAAGGCTCGTAGGCAGGTCACGGGACAGACCCAGGTGCCATGGGTTGATGGACTGAGATGACTGGTACCACCTGTGCCCCCTAATGTGGCAACTGACCACAATGCCACTGCTTGCACATGACAGCACCCGGTCACGAAGTGGCGATGACGTCACCACAGCCTGCACTTTGAGATCCAGGTGTTGAGGGTAAACTACATAACACAGCATTGAATGAAAGTGCTGATAGTAAGCACCCATCAATGTGGGTACACACTACGTGTGGCTAGTAGCACGCCCGGCCACCTTCGTCTCCCTAGGGGCGATGTTTACAGACCACATCAGGTAGTCATTTGAGGCCGAGTCGCCCTAGGGGAGGCCCAGGACCGGTTAAGCATTTTCGTCACCGTTGTTGGCTGTGAGTTAGAATCGAACTTATGTTTCCAGGTTCATAGCGCAGCGCGCTAACCGCTGCGCCACCACTACCCACGATAATCTTAAACACACACAGTGCACGCACATATACACACGCAAAGCATGAGGAAACTTGCCTCGCCCACACACACAGAGCAGGTAGAGAGAGAGAGAGCGAACGAGCGAAGCCCGGCCCACACGTGGCTTAAACGCCATGAGCGCCCTGCAGGCAAGGCACGTACGCGCAGCAGCAGTAGCAGCGAGCTCATCAAGGGCAGGCGCGGACAAGCGGACGCGGCGCAGACTTTGAAGGTCGCCGCTTGCCGGTCCGCACACTCCACCCCCCTCCCACCACCCCCCCGAGGGCAGCCACGCTGGCACCGTCTCAAGCTACCGCCACCCGGCCCCCGGGGAGGGGATCTCACTCATCCAGGTGGCCCTCTGCAAGTCAGGCACGGGCCATTGTGGCGGGAGGGCTACTTCAGTAGCCGGGGTTTGACACGGTAGGTCATGGGGTTTGCGCGATCTTCATGCAACAAACCTCCCCAGGTCGACCTTGAAAAAGATGTATTGTGGGTTATTATCGTGAATGTATTTCAATCCTACACTGCGACCTTATGGCCCTGGCGGTTTGTCAAGAGCTTGGGCGATGGCGCTTGAAATAGCCGCTCACGGTCGCGAGAAAGAGCCACTGGATGAGCAGCCTGTGCGCTGCGCAGCCAACTTGTAGTGGACAGATGCAGTGGAAGAGCCTGCAGTCGTAGACACGAGGTGGTGCTTCCCCGAAAGAACTTGCCGACAGCGCGCAACGAGGATGACCTCAAAAGCCAGGATAGTCAAAAGGGGGACTGCGTCGAATGCGCGTGGCGAGAGAAACGAGCCCGAGAGACACGTCGGCGAAGGTGAGGACACGGACACGGGCCGGTCCTTGAATGCAGCAGCGTCGTGGGTCTAATGCGCGCAAACGCCAAAAAAAAAAGAGAGGCACGTGGGTCATGGACCAGCGGGAGTGGGCAACACGCAAACGCTGGAACCGCTTCGTGATGGTTATTTATCCAGGACCCCCCCCTCCCCCCGGCGTCTCGGATTCACCACGCAATGCATTGCGGGTCTTGAAATATTGATTATTGTTGTTAGAGAATTCGAAGAAAAAAAACTGCCTTGTTATTTTGGTAGCCACCAACCTCCCCATCCCCGCGATTTTGACGGTGGTCATTGAAGGACGTTGCATACCTGTCAAGCCCTTATCAGTGCCCTACCTTATTACAGACCAATTCAGATCTTATTGGTCACCCCGTGCCCCTTATAAAACTCAACGTTCATCCTACAAAGTCCCATCACAAGGGAGAAACACAAACAAATACTAAATAAAAATTGTGTTGCTCGTATTGAAACGCCTGTACTCCGTTTGGACCTGAAACGCAATTTCCCTGTTCAAGAACACGGTGTTAAACCGTATGGTCTGTACATGTATTTAAGCTGTGTCGATTACAAACGTTGTAAAGCGACGTGGATGAACCCAGATGATTTGATGAGACGAAGAAAGCGCCACAACGGCCAGCAGCTACAGTTTACGGGACGAACGCGTTTCAATGGACAATGGCTTAAGCCAGATGGGTCAAGATTGTGAGTCTTGAATGACGAGTTAGATCAGAAATGGGGGGGCCGCCGAGATGGTTGGTTGGTGATGGTGTTGGCGATGGTGTTGGTGATGGTGGTGGTGATGGTGTTGGTGGTGTTGGTGGTGATGGTGGTGATGGTGTTGGTGATGGTGGTGATGATGGTGGTGTTGGTGATGTTGGTGGTGTTGGTGATGGTGGTGGTGTTGGTGGTGATGATGGTGATGTTGGTGGTGATGATGGTGATGTTGGTGGTGATGGTAGCGATGATGGTGATGTTGGTGATGGTGGGGGTGATGATGGTGATGATGGTGGTGTTGGTGGCGATGGTAGCGATGATGGTGATGTTGGTGATGGTGGGGGTGATGATGGTGATGATGGTGGTGTTGGTGGCGATGGTGGTGTTGCTGCTGGTGGTGATAGTGGTGTTGGTGATGGTGGTGATGATGGTGGTGGTGGTGCGAGCAACAACGACGCCGCACCGTGGCGGTAAACGAGAGACGATCGGCGAGAGAGAGAGGTGGTGGGGGGGTGGTGGTGGGGGGGGGGAGTCCGTGAAGGTCGGGGAAGGGTCGACTTTGCCGGCAACTTCGTTGAATCGAAGAGCGGCGCGGAAGGACAGCGATGGCGCTAGCGGCGGCAGAGCTACAAACAAAGTGGCCGGACGAGACGTCCACAGGCGGCAGAGGTCGCCGCCATCGCCTCTCCCAACCCGCCTCTCCCAACATGGCGCTTCCGTGTTCGCTGGCGGCGGCGACGTGCGCAAGGTCACCCCGCACTGAAGTTGCCGCAAGGACCCCCACCACCATCATCACCACCGCCACCACCATCATCATCACCACCACCATCACCGCCACCATCACCGCCAACATCACCATCATCACCACCATCACCGCCACCATCACCGCCACCATCACCACCAACATTACCGCCACCATCACCACCATCGACATCACCATCATCACCACCGCCACCGCGCCTCCACGGCTTCCCACGACCCCCCCCCCCCCATACTTTGCACCTCCACATCGCGTCTCGTGACTCGGACCCGCGAGCCGTCACTCCGCACAGCACCCCCACCCACCCGGCGTCAAGCACGAGCACACGAGCACACGAGCACCCAACCACCATTCAAAAAATTAATGTAGCTGTCAAGCACCCTTATCAATGGACGTCGATGTTGAGTAAGCGGCAAGAGCCCCCCCCCCCCCCCGAGTCCACGTTGGCCCCCCACAAACACTCGAGCCCCCCCCCCCCCTCCTCTCTCTGCGGTCTGGCACCGCGTCTCGCAGAAACGCAAGAGGTAAAAACAATCCCTCACCACACACACCGGGGGAGACCCCCACACATCCCCCCCTCTCCTAATCGACTATCAGCCTCAACACGATCCCAGCAATCCCCTAAACCTGCAAACCCAGTGAGGGGGGAGCTCCCCCCCCTAAAGATTCCTCACCCCTCCTCTCTCCTACTCCGCTGCCTTCTCCACGGCGGTCTCGCCCGCCCGCCACACGCCGCGTCGGGAACGCGCGCGGCCCACAGGGCCCTGGACACCGCCTCCCTCCCGCCACTCCCGACCCGGGTCCGACCTGGGCCCGACCCGTTCCTCAACAGCCACAAAAAACCCCGTTGCCGTCCGATCCGCGCGGCCGGTGTTTGCCGAGGGACCCCGATCGCTTCTTCGTTATCTAGACGAGGAGGAGGTGGTGGTGATGATGATGACGATTGATGAAGGTGAGGAGGATGATGATGATAGAGGTCGTGGATCGGCACCTTTCTCGTCGTCGTCTTCCTCCTCCTCCTCGTGCTGCTCGCCGCGCCGACAAATGACCTCGACGGCGAAGTGGAGGAGGCGCGCGCGGCACCACGGGAAGTGCCGCACTTCCGGTCGGCAATTAACGCGTGGGCGGGTTTATTTTTTAAAACATTTAAATTTTGACAGCGTTCATGCGAAAGACCCGCGCGTGCGAGGCGGACTCTTAAATTGCGAATTAGCTTTCTTTAACGCGATTAATTAAAAAATAAATATTAATGGTGGTGGGGGGGAGGGGGGGGGGAGTCGTGCCGGACGGATGTGACGTCACGTCCGATTGCGTCACGTCCGGGCCAGCGTCATCGCCGGACGTGACGTCCGCCGGATGCGGAGTCCATTTGGCGACGAGGAATGGAAGAGTCGTGGGGAGATTGTCGGCATCTGCGTCGTCTGCGGCAGTCGGCGGGGAGGTGGAGACGCGCGGGGCGATAGACGACGAGACGAGACGAGGAGGAGGAGGAGAGGCACGTGAGGAGAGCGATAGAGAAAGACGGAAGAGTTACAGATACACGGGGCCTGCGGGGAGAGGAGTTAAGGTAGCCAGATCAAGGGGTTTGCCTCGTCAACATCATCAGCTGATCGTCATCATCATCATCACTTGCCGGATTCTTCATTTTAATTACCAACATCACCATCATCACCGCGCTCATCATCTCGCACTTGGCAAGTCACAGTCGTCGGCACGACTTGAGGGGAAGAGAATCGGCCAGGGTCGGAGACGCGGAGGGGTGTCAACATCAACAACATCGTCATAGCCAATAGTAGCACTGCGTCACCAGGGTAGTGATTGACAAAGTAGCTACTGAGGACTCGGAAATCACGGTCTTGAGTGTGGCTTGTGGTGGTGGTGGTGAAGGACGTGGTGGTTGGTGACGGAGGAGTGACCCAGGAATAGGAGGAGGCGGTGAAGAGTTGGTGTGAATAGGAAGGATAAGGTGAATGAGGAGGAGGGGGAGGTGGTGAAGGAAGATAAAGGAGGAGGAGGCGGTGAAGAGTTGGTGTGAAGAGGAAGGAGGCGGTGAATGAGGAAGGGGGGGGGGGGTGAAGGAAGGGGGAAGGGGTGAAGGAAAAGTTGCTGTCAAAAGGAAGGAGGAGGTGAGGTAGGCGGTGAATGAGGTGGTGGTGGTGAAGGAAGAGAAAGGAGGAGGTGGTGAAGGAAGAGTTGCCGTGAAGAGGAAGGAGGAGGAGGAGGTGGTGAAGAGTTGGTGTGAAGAGGAAGGAAGGAGGTGAATGAGGAGGGGGAGGTGGTGAAGGAAGAGGAAAGAGGAGGAGGTGGTGAAGAGTTGGTGTGAGGAAGTCGGTGAATGAGGTGCCGGTGGTGGTGCCCGTCCGGCATGGCGGGGCACTTCCGCAGCTACGCGTGGGACCCGGTGCTGATCGTGTCACAGATGGCGCTCATGCAGTGCGTATTCTACGGATTCCTGTGCCTCTGGCTGGCGCTCATCGATGTCTTGGTGCAGGCGAATCGCACCCTTGACCAGATCTTCAGCTACCAGGCACGTCCGGGGGCTGCACGTGTTTGCCGCATGCGATTCCTCCACACTTGGATATGTATAAACCCCCTAAACTTTAAAAAGTGTAAACGAAAACGACAACCGCGCACAGAGCGATAAATACGAAGAGACGTTTGGATTCATCTTCTAGGGGGACAGTGTTGTACTGTAGAAGGGAAATAATAAAATGATAAAATTAAAACAATAAAATGCAATTCTCACGACGTTTCGGCCACAACGCAAGCAGCCGTCCTCAAGTGAAGAACAGGGCTGTCGGAAAGACAGCGTCCTAATGAACACTGCTAGGTTGGCAGCGTATTTTAAGCTTAAAATACGCTGCCAAGCTCTGTTTCTTCACCCGAGGACGGCTGCTTGCGTTGTGGCCGAAACGTCGTGAGAATTGTATTTTATTATGTTTTATTTTATTATTTCCCTTCTACGTGACTTTACCGAAAGAACCAAGAAGATGAATCCCTGCAGTCACGAAAGCTTTAAATCGAAATGTTGTACTGTACTTGTATGGTATTTGCCGAATTGACAACTTGAGGTTGCCCTCAAGTTGTCAATATATCCAGAACGCGTGAGGGATGTCAGCAGAAGATTTGGGGAGGCCTTTAAGCCAGCAGCGGATTGTTAGTGACTGGCGAAGATGATGATGAATTCAAACTTAACATTCACAGGAAATACGAACTTGTGTGTAATTGTGTCTCTAAATAACCAGATCATAATGTTAATGCTCCACCCAATTACGTAATTAGTAGTTAAACCCAATGTTTGACTTTTAATTGGCTTGCAGTGACAATATTATGCGCATGGCACACACCACGGGGAAGGTGAGTAGAGTCGTGGATGTGATTAATGGAAAAAAGGGGGGAAGAAAAGATCGAGAAAGAATGTGAAATTGGAGGAAAATGATGGAAAGTGAGAGTCTGGAGGAACCAATGAGATATCTTGGCCAAAACCGTCAAAAGCGTATCATTCCAGTAGGTGTTATGTAAGTCTAGTACTGTATGTTGAACTTATTTCACAACGTAACCGGCCAACCGTGCTAATGGGAGGTGCGGAAGTGCTCTGTGTTTGGAAAGGACTCGTTCCTTAAATGGGTATCAATGCCACCATCACTGGATGTACATTGCATTGCCATTACGATGTGAATCGACGTCAATAAAAACACATTCCTGCGGAGGGAGCTGGTAGGAACGTCGGGTTGCTCGGTCAATGGCCAGGGTCAACGGCGGCGTGGTGTGTTCCGCAAATATGGCCGACTGTGAGGGCGGGCACAAGCCGGCGTGAGTAGGTTAAACGTTGAGTTTTATAAGGGCACCACGGGGTGACCAGCCCCTCCCCACCCAGCCCCACCCATCCCACCCCCCACCCAGGCCCATTCTCCCCACCCAGCCCCTCCCCACCCAGCCCCTCCCTGCACGACGGATGGACACAATGATCTCCTGTGGGCTGGTGGAACCAGGAGGTTCCTACCAGTAATAGTTGAGCCTTGGACACAGCAGCGTCTCTGTACAGCGACGTCACCATGGATCGGCGTGGCTGTTTTAACAGGACATGGGAGTGGGGTGGGAATCTGAGTGGGGCTGGCCAAGTTACGCGATTCATGGGGGAGCTGAATTAGATGCATAGATGAGCGTTCACGTAATCCGCTCACGTGGGACTTAACTCCTAATGAAGTAATTGGGTGGAGCGTTAATGGTAGTTGACCCTGATTGAACCCAGTTCGCATGTGAATCAAGCTGGATTGCAAGCATTTTTTTGCATATCGTGGCATTTCTTTATGGGTTCTAGTTATGGCTTCAGAAGAATTTTCCAGGTGCAAATTCTGAATTCTGTAAGAAAAAAAGTGTGCAATGCAGATTTAGAGTAGGAGCTAAGATAAAGTGTGATGCACAACTGTTATAATTAGAAGGTGAAAAAGATGAAGTTGTCACGGCCTGGCAAAGACCACATTCACCGCTTGTTGCAGAGGTTCACTGTTCTAATCCAGCGGACGCCCTGATTAATACTGCTGCGGTGCGTACTAACCGTAATAATACAAACCCCCATCTGCTTGACAGTGGACGTTAAAGATCCCAGGATTCCATTCGCAAGAGTAGGCCATTGTGTGGCGTCGTCATGGTCTAAAATTTGGCATGTTTTAAAAATGACAGCAAGCGTCGCCCTGTACTGCGAAAACACGGCAGCACCCACCTGAAAACAAGTCATGAGACTCGGCGACCCTCTCTGGGATAAACAAGCGTGAGAGCAAAAATGTATTTAAAATAATCACCGTCCTCTTTCTCTGTGATTCACAATTCATAACGCAGGTCTCTTAAGCGCGTCAAGGGTGACCTGGGCTGGTGTCGCGGCTAAATTAAAACCCATTCAAATGCGGTTATATAATGAATATGGAGACATTGTCTCGTTTGTTTTGCCTGCCATCGGTGACCTGAGAAGGCAAGCCGTGTGATACATCTTAAGGAAGCATTCTTAAGCATCACTCGCGGACACTTTTGCCAGCCCAAATGGGTTGCAGACTCGCAAAATGATGCGAGCGGGTTCCAACACATGTTTGTTCGTGGAAGTATTAAATTAGTGGCATGGGTGCCGGAGGGCAAAAATTTAAGATAATCTTTGCATCTTTGCCACGCTTTAAGTTGGATCTTCGTTGCCAGAGTTTTAGCGCCCCTGATACTGACGGGCAGAGCTAATGCGTAAGCACTTCTGACCCTTGCTCGGACGGCGTTAATACGCAAAGCCAGCGAAGAAGGTGATGCTGTAGAGCAACACTGACGGGAAGTTGAATTTACGCCGAGTGTCGATGCAGCAGTATTCTCGCAACACCCCGTACTCTACACATGAGAGGGTGCTGCAACAACTGCCTTCATGCATTCTCCCCCGTTAGAGCAACAATTGTGGTGATCGATGAGTTTGGTGGTGGTGGACATGTGTACATGTGTGGGGGGCAAACGGTGGCACGGTGGTTAGCGCACCGCGGTACGAACCCGAGTTAAGTGGCCAACATTTGAACTGGTCCTGGGCCTCCCCCCTCTAGGTTGACTCGGCCTTAAAAGCACGTACGAGTTGGTGGTGTGTAAACATGAGCACTGGGGAGATAAAAGGGTGTGGTGCTGGCCACCCACCCCCCTCGTGTGGAATGTCCAACTGATGATGCCAGCCTTGACAGGTTGTCTTTAACAACACCTAACCCAACAGTCTGTTGCCCTCGTGCAAATATGTGTGTGCTTGTTCTTTCTGGCAGAGTGCCGGAGTGACTGATGAGTGTGGTGGTGGTGGTGTTGTGCACACACACACACCCTGCGCTATGAACCCAGTGACGATTATTTGAACTGGTCCTGAGCCTCTCCTTGGTCGACTCAGCCTCAAACGAGTACCTGGTGCAATGTGTAAACATCGCCACTGAGGAGACAAAGTCGGCCGGGCGTGGTGCTGGCCACCCAACCCCTCGAGTGCCGCGCCGGCCTTCATAGGCGCTCCTCGCCAACGACACTTGCCCCGACAGTCTGTTGAGGCTACACAGGGGGGCTCTTTGTCTTTGTGTGCGCGCGTGCAGGTGCTGGAGTTCTCGACGGCGCACGGGAGGGTTCCGCTCATCGCCTTCGTGCTCAACGCGCTCACTTGGTGAGGGCAGTTTGCAGCGGTGACCCTCCCGTCATGGCGGGGGTCACTCCTCGTCAAATCTACGCAGCGGCGCTTCGCGCAGCGCGTGACACCCCCTGCGTTGGATTGGTCGTTGTTGAACCGCACACGTAACTGCTCACGCCATTCCGTTCCCCCCCCACCCCACCGTGCACTTTCTCGTACTTGAGGCCTGCGGCGGTGGTTTGGAATTTCAAACCGATGACGACCCCGAGCTCCTTGGTGCAGTGAGAACGCAGATACTGTACTCGCTGTGTTAAGTTTGCCGTGCCCCAACTCGTCATGAGCCTTTGTCTTCCCAGCCACCCTTATACTTGATGAAGTCGGTTATCGAGAAGTGCCGGTTCAGCAGAGGTCGCAAACGGGTTTTGATTCCTTACCCGTACCCGTACCCGGCCGCACCAGGGTCGCAAATGGGTACCCGTACCCGTTCCCTACCCGTACCCTACCCGAAATGAGTGACAAACGGTTACTCATCAGTGACTCACGGCCTACCCGTACCCGGCCGCACCAGGGTCGCAAACGGGTATCGGGTAGGGTACGGGTATCGGGTACCCGGTTGCGACCTCTGCGGTTCGGTGTGTGTAGTCTGTAGGACAGGGAGTTGAATAAGGTCACTTTCAGTTCTCTAAGACGAGTTCTCTAAGATGCAACGCCTCATGGTCACAAGTCTCTGCGACCATGTGGAATAGCGCCAGCCAGGATCTCAAGTCGGCCGTCCAAGCTTGGCCCTTGTTACCCACAGTACGTACGTATGTTGAACTTCTTTCGCACAGTACGTAGCCAACCGTGCCAATTTGAGGCGCTCACGGCACGCACGTATACGTTGGCTTGGCGAGCCGTCCGCGGCACTCGCTTCTCCTGCCAGGCCACACGCTCTACCCTGGGCCAACCTCGCCACGGGATCACGGTAGAGGTCACGGTAGAGGTCACGGTAGAGGTCACGGTAGAGGTCACGGTAGAGGTCACGGTAGAGGTCACGGTAGAGGTCACGGTAGAGGTCACGGTAGAGGTCACGGTAGAGGTTCCAGTTAGGTCACGGGGCGGTGGAAAATCAAGAAGCAGAGTAAGCCCCCTCACTTGATTCGACTTGAGGGCCATGTTTCTGTTTAAATACAGGGCGAACAATTACAATTTAATCTTGATTTGAATCTTGATTTTATTACAATTGACAAATTACCTTTAAGTAGCCTGGCCTGATCCATCCCTAAATTTAAAGATATTTTACAATCAGGATCGCTGCACCTCCAGTCCGTGGCGGAGGTTAGGGATGAAGACAGGTTCAAAGTATGGCTCATGAAATGTGGAGACACGAAATCCGACCCTTGCTGCTGCTGATGATCCTGGAATGTGTACCAAGCCATTGCTGGGTCGCCAAGTCGCAGTTACCACTGCTCGTGGAAGGTTAGGTAAATGGCTGTGTTGACTTGACATGGAACAAGGGTGGCACAGTCGGGTTTTTTACAATCGGGTTTAATTGTCTTTTATATTAAACCCGATCATCTGAGATTGGGAGAAATCCGGTTTAATTGGTTCTAAAAAAAAGATGCCTGCCGCTGGAAAAATCGGGTTTTTTCCACCCATGACATGGAATGACCTCTGGCGCACGCTGTATTGACGTGTCTTTGTAAATCGGGCTTCTTAATTTCCTTGTTTGAAATTTTTGAAAATGTCGCAGTAACGAATGGAGTCTTTTGCCCGATTGTCAGGATAATGCTTTCGCACGGAGAGTGGCCCCTTTTTTTCCTCCCAATGACAGCATCACCTCGATGAAGGCTTTTTTTACTTGGGTGAGAATCCAGCTACAATTTTAAGTTGATTTGGCCACACAAAGCTAAATATAATCCACAAGTCACCAGATGAGTGTTTTTTCACTTTCCCAAGCCACCATTGTCCCCGTGTCGTTTTAGCCAGGGGCTGTAACACCCACACCATAAATCTTTCTCCCCCCCCCCCCCCCCCCCCCCCGCAATTGCCTAACGCGTGCTCTCGCATGACTTTTATGTTCAAAGGGAATGTATAAGACCATTTCCCATTGGTGGCATTGTGACAGGAAATACTGGATTGTCCCGCGGGTCCACAAATCAGGGTGTGGTAGATGATGATGTGCAAAGATCACTATAAGCTGCTCTCACGCTTGCCCTGTAAAGAGTGTTTATCTTTGTGTGTGTGTGTGTATGGGGTGGACATGCCGGCGTATGAATTGACACACCACTGATCATCCAACCTTGGTGGATCGCGATGGTAAGGCAGGCTCGACTTAGACGGTTGGGCCACTTGTTGGGAAGAGACGAAGGATATGGACTTAGAAGGGCTACGGAGACGCCGTTGCAGGGCACGAAGCGAGTGACCGAGGGTGAGATGGGAGGATGTGGTAGAATGAGATACAAGGGCAGTGAATGCGACAAGAGGCACAGAATAGAAGCTCGTGGAGAAATAAAATCCAAGACTCCATGCAAAGAGCGGAGTGTTTTGGATGAAAGGACGAGAACACTGGCATTCATCCAGCAGTGGACGGATCACGGCTTTTGCAATTGCAACCATTGCCAATGCACACGCTGGTGTGCAAAGGCACACGCTGGTGTGCAAACGCACGTTTTGCTGGTGCCTTGGTGTGTAAATGCACGTGCTGGTGTGCAAACGCACGTTCTGCTGGTGCCCTGGTGTGTAAACGCGCGTCTCGATTGTGCGTGCCTCCCCCCCCCCCGCAGCGCGCTGGGCCTGTGGCTGTTCGTGCGCCGCGGGAAGCAGTGCCTGGACTTCACGGTGACGACGCACTTCTTCCACATGCTCGCGTGCTGGGCGTACAACGCCAGCTTCCCCAGCGCGCTCACCTGGTGGCTCGTCAACCTCGTGTGCGTGGCGCTCATGGCCGTCATCGGGGAGTACTTGTGCATGCGCAGCGAGCTTATGGCCATCCCGGTCAGCATTGGGCCCAAGGCCGACCTGTGAGATGCTTCGGGCCACGCTGCGAGGTCGGGCGCCCTGCTCGGCCGTGGATTCACGGAGAAAATTCCTCGGAGCGTGGTGGGGTCCCGCCTCATCTTAGACGGACTCTCGCGAGAAGCGCTCGGTCTTGCGCCTAAGCGCGAGAGAGCTCTGCGTTGATGTCAGCGCCCCCCCGCCGCTGTCGGTTTGGAAGGGTCTGGAATACCCAGAGGTGTACGCATGCGTGTTGTGAACGTCTATCGGGTCTTACGTTGCCAACCGTGCTAAATCGGAGGTGCGGGGGTAGGGCAACAAACTAAACACAAAATCAGTTTTTGGGTTATCGTCGACAATGGAAGAAGTGATTTCCATCTTGTGTATATAGGTTTATTTTGAAGCGGCGCTTTAAAAATAAAAACGAAAACTATAAATGGACGTGAAAATTGTCGCGTTTTTATTTGCTTAGCTGGTGCTTGCGTGCGACGCGTTTATTTGACTCTCCAACGAGCCACGGAGGAGCCCGAGTGGTGTTGCGGTGTCGCTGCTTGTGGAACGACACGAAGAAAAAAAGACCGATGAAAAGCTCGGTCACAATTCGTGTGGTCTCTTGCTGTCGCATCGTCACCTGTATGGGGGCCACTTATTCACCCATTCCGAGGCGTCTGCAAGTCGCAGGGTGTGTGGTGTGTCCCGTAAACCGCTGAATCACGGAACACACAAGTGGCTCCGCGTAAATTTTATTCAGGTGAGCACGTAGTAGCGCTGCTACTACGTGCTCACCGCAGACAACTGAAGCGACACGACCGCCGCAGTCGACGACAGCCGACGCCAAACTGCCACACACCCTCCCGCATGGCCTTGTGAGAGCCCTTGGTACCGATAAAGTGATTTAAAGTTTTTCTTCCGCAGTAGCCGAAGGTGAAACGACCCTCTGCAGGTCACCGTATATTCTGGTCACAGCCATGTAAAAAGCTTGATCCGCGACAGCTGCAAAGCCTCCCCTCCCCCCTTGTTTGTTGTAACTTTGACCCGCCACAACTGGCTTCATCGCTCGTCGGATTTCTCCAGGATAAATACATTCTAATTTCACCGACTTGCTATCCAGGTGGGAGTAGACACACTCTGCCCCCACCACACACCGCCTGCTGATCGCCGAATCGGTGGAGCCGTTGACGCTGCGGGGTGGACAGAGGTGGAGATTTAAGAAACGTCCACCTTTGTTTCATCTTACGCTCCCCGGGAGATGGAATCGAACCGGTGATCTCTGGGGTTGCAAGTCGGGCCTGCTCACCAATGCAACGGGGTGGCTGCATGCTGCGTAACTGGGTAAAAAAAAATCTGGTCATGTATGTTGAACATCTTTCGCACCGTACGATGTTATTAGAACGCTGCTGGAGCTTATGCACTGTTGAATCTAGATTGAAAACTCATTTCTTTCGAACTGCTTTTGTTTCTATTTAGTTTGTTGTTCCTCCCCGTCCGCCGCACCTCCGATGAACACGCTCGGCTACGTACGGCGTGAAAGAAGTCCAATGTACATTCGAGTCGGGTCCACGTCAGAGGTCGCAACCGGGTACCCGATACCCGTACCCTACCCGATACCCGGCTACCCGTACCCATTTGCGACCCTGGTACGGCCGGGTACAGGTACGGGTAAGAAATCAAAACCCGTTTGCGACCTCTAGTACACGTGGTGGTAGTGCCCCATCTGCTGTATTTTAATTGTATCGCAACGGATGGCGAGCGGGAAAGTGGAAGTGCAGCGCCCCGAGGGGGCTACGCTCCGAGCCCTGCGACCCGGGTTCGATTCCCGCGCACACGGCCAACGCCAGTGTATGGGGCCGTCCATAAATGACGTCACGCGATTTTGGACGATTTTGGACCCCCCCTCCCCCTCTTCGTCACACGACGTCGCAAAAAGTCAGACCCCCCCTCAAATATGACGTCACAAAGCTCTGCTCCCCTCCCAAAAAAAAAAAACATGCTTCAAGTCGCTTTAAACTCTTGTCATTGTAGTGCGTATTTAATGTGGCACTGCACTCTGATGTTGTAGGAGAAAACATTTATAAAAAATCTATTTCATTAAGTAGAACGTGTTGTCTATATTTATTTAAAGTTGCGCATTTTGATGTGACGTCACATTTCTCACCCCCCCCCCCCCATCGTCACACATCGTCACAAATATCTGACCCCCCCCCCTAGGTGCGTGACGTCATTTATGGACGGCCACTATGTCCGTTGAACTTCTATCGCGCCGTACATAGCCAACCGTGCTAATCGGTGTTGCGGATGATCTCGACCGGTCCTTGGCCTCCCCTAGGTCTACTCAGCCTCAAATGAGTGTCCTGGTGCAGTGTGTAAGGATCGCCACTGGCGGCTGGGCGTGGTGCTGGCCACCCACCCCCTCGTGTGCCGTCCCTGGCTTCATAGATGATGCGCGCTAACAACAGCACTTGCCCCAACAGTCTGTTACCGGCTTTTATGCTTATTACACTGGTCAACAAAAAAAAATTCTGGCCTGGACTTTTGCAGTTGTTTTAGACTAATTCCAGGGTGCTGATTCCAAATCTGATCTCAGATTTGCTCTATCACATCTCATTTTTATGCTATCGGCATACCCCATTTTCATTGATTTTACCCGAAATTAACTCTGTCACTTATGATTGCAAGTTGTTGCGAGTCAGTGACTGCTTTAGTGTTAAAATATGGTGCTGTATTTTTAGGATGGTGTGTTTCTAATATCATTTTATGTAGATATCCACATTTATTTAATATTTTTCTTCTGCAGTTTTTATTGAAAATGCAATATTTGATATCTCAAAAACCTGATGTGATAGACAAAAACTGATGCCAGATTTGGAATCAGCACCCCAAAATTACATTAAAACCGTTGGAATACCTTATGCCAGAAAAAGTGTGTTGACCAGTGTTATCAGCTAACACCGGCTACAACCCTGAGTCGATGTGCACCATTGTTCTCTTTAGCCCCCCCCCCCCCACCGTGCCATTCATTGGCTACCACAATCAGATAAGCCCCTCCCCCCCTCCCCCTTAACTTGTATTTAAGAGCTTGTCTCTCTTGGATTTTTCCTCACTTGATACAGTAAATTTAGCTGTGACGGTCCCACCTGAAGACGGAGACTTATGTTGCCTCCGAAACGTCGTGATTTATTTTATTTCTATTAATATTTCTATTATTTTTTATTTTGAATTTTTTTACCTACGTGACTTTACCGAAAAAACCTAAGAGTATGTTACAGGCTATAGGGGGGATCTTTGTCTTTGGTGTCGTGGTGGGGCTCGGGCTGACGAGTGCTGCTGCTGCTATCGGCACGGTATGGAATTCGCCTTCATCCAGCACAAGTGCTGCAGTGTACGATACATGTCAACTAAACAATTGATTTTTATTTTGACTGGTAAGGCCCACTGAGCTATATTAGAGCCGTTTTTCGGGAAGCGACCTGGCCACAAACGATAGCTTCAACGAAGTGGCTGAACATCACGTGAACATTTACAGCGGCCAAATACTCTAAACGCGTGACGTTGATTCTAAATGTGGAGGGGGAAATCGGCGGTCCCCGGAGAAAATTCCACGCGACCACGGGGAGAGAGAGAAAGAGCGAGAGACACGCAAACTCCACGTATACAACAGGGTCGGGATCGAACCCAGGATCTCCTGCACACCAGGCGAGGTAGTTAACATCTCCTAGCCACCGCGATGATGATGAGAGAGAGACACGCAAACTCCAAATATACAACAGGGTCGGGATCGAACCCAGGATCTCCTGCACACCAGGCGAGGTAGTTAACATCTCCGAGCCATCGCGATGATGATGAGAGAGAGAGACACGCAAACTCCAAATATCCAACAGGGTCGGGATCGAACCCAGGATCTCCTGCACACCAGGCGAGGTAGTTAACATCTCCTAGCCACCGCGGCACTCAGACAAAGCAGCTGCATTTCGATGGTCCCGGGGTGGCACCATTAGGAGATTCCCACCGCGACTGGTCCAATCAAAATGATGCAAACATCACGCAACACGCCGGGACTCTGTGGACTAAAAACGGTTGAGTTCCGAGTCGCGTAACCGTTTACACATCGGAACAAAGCCATCATTTACAATCTGGCGCACGTCAATGTTTGGTGGATCTCGTGTAGATTTAAGAAACACCCAGACCGGAGTGGCTCTTCATTGCAAGCCTCGCGGGCCACTGGCACCCCCCCCCCCCCCCCCCGCGACAAAACACAAACGATGACAATATCCTCCCATCGTCATCAGCGTGCTGCTGTCGAACCCCAAATGGTTTCAAACGCGTGGCGGTCCCTCGCACTGGCGATGTCTAATCGGCGAAAGTGTCCCCCCACTCTGAAATTGAGTCGAAGAACGCGGACCCGGAGCCACTGGGGTTGCAAGGTGGCCAGATGGCAGTCGGGTGGGATCATGAACCCATCTGTGTGGACCTTGGCGCGTTGTCCTTTCCTCGTGCATTGCGTCCTTCAGTGGATACCGTTCGATTTCCTCTCGCATGCAACACTTCATCTGAAAAAGAATTGCACAAACATCACGGCGCGGTGCCAAAACGCTGGCTTGCAAAATACTGCAACACCTTCTTGGTTCTTTCGGTAAAGTCACGTAGAAGGGAAGTAATAAAATAATAAAAATAAAACATAATAAAATTATTCTCACGACGTTTCAGCCACAACGCAAGCAGCCGTCCTCAGGTGAAAACCAGGTCCGTCGAGGCGACAGAGTCGGACCTGGTTATCACCTGAGGACGGCTGCTTGCGTTGTGGCCGAAACGTCGTGAGAATAATTTTATTATGTTTTATTTTTATTATTGTATTACTTCCCTTCTACGTGACTTTACCGAAAGAACCAAGAAGATGAATCCCTGCAGTCACGAAAGCTTTAAATCAAAATTATACTGCAACACGTCAAACATTTCTACGGCGAGGATTCGGTTCATCTCAAGAGAGCATCCCACGTGTGGACTGTTCCTCCGCAGGCGGTGCTCACACAACGCGACGATCCTTTTCTTTGCAACGGTCCCGATGGAATTCCCGGGTTGAGATGACCCCGACTCGGATTACAAATGATTACAAATATAAATTCTCTGGCACGTGTCGTGTCCTGCAAGGGCCACGTTCCGTCCAGTGCTCGCCAAACTGCATTGGGTTCCAGTTGCCAAACGAATACAGGACGTACTAATGTCTCACTAATTATACACACACAAAGTGCCTGCCACAAATGAACCTTGCCCATCTTGTCAAGGAGTGTACGGTGATTTTTTTCTGCAATATTTTGCTGTCTTTTCTTGGATTTTCTGTTTGCACATAGTCACTCTAAGATGTTTTCTTGCTCGTGTTTTTGTTTTTTGTTTGTTGCGGTTGCACCCGATTCAAGAGCCGAATGGCTCACAGGGCTCTACCTAATAAATGAACTTTGAACTTTGAACTCCGATCATCCTCGCAGCGGCAGTGGCTTTTGGCTGGCCATCGAACAAAGACGGTCACACCGCATCGTACGGCGCTTTCAGATGCGCTACTGTGGTCGTCTCGAACG